TTTTTTTTTTTTTTTTTTTTTTTTTTTTTTTTTTTTTTTCTTTTTTTTTTTTTTTTGGTAATCCCAAATACAGAGGGGCTGTATTATTTATTCTAAATTGTACAGGTTTATCCATAGAGTCATCAAGAGTTGCCTATTCAGAATCAAATGGAATTCTGTTTTCTATCTTTCTTTTTGTTTCTACTGTTCAGGTGTTCCTGATGCTAATGCAGAAGACGGAGCACTATCCATGAACAAGGTGCTATCAAAAAGCTTGAGAAAATCTCCAGATTTACAAAAAAAAAAAAAAAAAAAAAAAAAAAAAAAAAAAAAAAAAAAAAAAAAAAAAAAAAAAAAAAAAAAAAAAAAAAAAAAAAAAAAAAAAAAAAAAAAAACCACCCCTAAGAACTCACAAGAACGAAAATCCTCAGTGACCAAAGAAGGTTGTCTGCCTATAGCTGCAAGGAAGCATTAATGAAAAAGGAGCCTGGAAGGCAGAAAAGAATATGCTTTTGTAAGAAAAGACTGGGCCAACTCTGGAATACTGACGAAGAACCCTTTCAATACAGTATTTTATAGCAATTCACACTGATTTTTTTCCTGATATCATGAAAATTGTTTCTAGCAAGTAAGGAGCAGAGTTCTATTGAGGCCATTTTATTTAAATCAATTCTGCTTGTAGTATATGTCCTTTGCATTTACAGTTATTTCTATCACAAATATAGAAAGTAATTGTTTTATGATAACATGTTATTACTATTTAAAAAATAAATTTCCATTAAAAAGGTTTTCTTTTATCTCCCCTTCCAAACATTCTATTTTTAGCTTTGTTCTTTATCTAAATTTTAATAGAGTATTTTTTAAATCTGTTACTCTCTATATAATGTATACATATAGTCTTATTTTATTGCACCATTTTACCTAATTAGTTAAACATTCTAAAATGTCTCAATTCTTACAAAAAATGTCTTGTGTTCTGTACAATGTGAGTCAAGCCTCAGAGACTCAACAACCATATAACTCCGGCTCTCTTTAAATTTCACTGAAAGATTTAGACAATACTTGGTAAAGTAGAAATGAAGTATGATTACTCTTTGCCAAAGGTAGGAATATATGTTTGTATTAAATTTGTGAATCTTAAGCAATTGAGTATTATGATGTGCTGATTAACAATTTGACCAAAGGCATTGCTAGCTAATTACTTTCAAAACAGTTGAACCAGAAATTAAAATAAGAATTAATTTTCTGATCATTGTAATTGATACATCATTTGCCTTACAATTATTATAACAGAAATTCCCAGAATTAACAGAATAATCCACCAATAGGAAGTTTGAATGTTAAAAAAATTGCACAAGGATATATTTTGCAATGGCAGTTTAAGATAAGAAACTGTTTACTAAAAAGGCAATGTCAAGCTTGATGAAAAAGGTTTT